ACACTCGTCTGAATCTCTGACTGAGGCGTTAAGAGACATGATAGTGATATTCAGGAACAATGGGCTGGATGAACTCAACTGTTGACTGGTCACCGCCAGTGGCCTCTCAGAAACAAAGAAGTGCCACTAGTAATGAAATCAAGATATGCTGACTATGCACCAGACACGCCTCTTGTACCAGTTGAGAAAGCACAACGTCTGCGTTATCCATTCCAAACCTTAAAACAAGTTTTCTACATTCTCAAGGTCTTTAAAAATAATCCAAATTCTTACTACATATGATGAGACCGAAACAACGCGACATGCGGCACTTGGACAGGTGTTACTGTCAGAGCGCTACGTAGCGTTTAACTTGTATCGCAGAGCGCCCACTCCCCAGTAAACGGCTCGTCTGACTCCTATTTTATCGGGGGCCTGCCGGCAAAGTCGTTCGCCCCAGCCTGACCCGGATTCCTCTGTCCAGCGACGCCGGGCCTGAGCTCCGCGGCGCGCATTGCTGGCATAGCGCTGTCCCACGGCTCACCGGTCGTGGCGCCCGTCGCTCGCTCTCCCGGGTCGACCGGGCCGGTCCCACAGCCAGCTGCCGGGACGGTCCCACGATCAGCTGCACTGGCAAGACCCATGACCAGCTTGTCCCGACTGACCCACGACCAGCTGACCCGACCGAGCCACGACCAGCTGTCTGGAAGGTCCCATGACCAGCCGACCGACTCACCACCAGTTGTCTGTACTGTTCCACAACCTATGTCCCGAACATCCCACGGCCTGCTGCTAGGACGGTGGCGCAATCATCTGCCCGGGCCGCCCCACGACCAGCTGATAGGGTTCGTCTCACAACCACCGCAGAGCGACAGCACCCGCTGCTCGGCTCGCCGGGCTGTCCCGTGGTCACCGTCACACGTGGCCTGCTGACTGGGCCGTTCCAAGGCTTTCGGCCGCTCGCATCCATTATAGACTTTGAACCTTGCTCTTTCTAGGATAACATTTAGCAGGGGAGGAAGCGAACATCGCACGTTGGAAGTGCGAGCCGGTATTATGCTTTGCAAAAGTCTTCAGGCGGCCATTGGCGAGTGGCAGTATGTCTCGGAGCCGTCGCTATCCCCAGATCTGCCGGGTGCCGGTGCTCGCCAGTACAAACATGAGTTGCGTCCCTGGAAGGACTTCGCGAATTGGTCAACACCTGGTCGCTGTCTGTCCCACTTGTTTAGACTAGCCTGCTTGACCTTCTGGGAATTCGCCATAATGGATCGCAGATTCTCCGCCTGCCAGTGTCATCTAGCGGTGTTTATCTAGCGGTGTAGAGCAGGCCGAATACGAGACTGTGACCGATGGTTCGATGTTAACCAAGCGGAACATTTTCCACTTCGCCTTTAGAGTGCGGCTAAATTTGCACCCGTGAAAACCGCGGAAGCCTCCCAGCTAATCGCGCTGGCCGTAATGATATGGGCAGGCTCGACGGGTCAGACAGAACAGGCGCACCGGTGGTCAGAAGACGCTGGCGTGCTTGGAGCCTGGCGTTGACCTGAGGTCAGCCGGGCAGGCGGCGTGATGGGCTGGACCGAGCCCGTCCTTGTCCTTGTCCAGCTCTGCTCCGCGGCAGTCAACCCGTCACGCCCAGACTGTTTACACGGAGCCGCTGTCGCAATAACACAACACGCCGAGTCTCGGCACAAAAACGAAGCCATTCATGTCTTTAATCGAAGCGGGACATGGCCAAGGACCGCGGGCGGCACCTTTGCAGAGACCCTGTCAGCGTTGCTCGTGCCGTGGTCTTTGTCGAGTTCGGTGGATATAGCCGAGGGTGACGACACTATGATCAGTGAGATGAGATGAAACTTGCCCTGATTTTCCAGGCATGGGGGCGTCACGTACAGGGAATATGCTTGCGCAAGACGTTATATGGAAGCCTGTCGGTTGCCCGCTAGAAGCGCGGAATGAATTCCATCTGGTCTGTTTACCTGTAGAAACGATAAAAACTCGCCTTGGCTCGGGTCAGCCTATAGCTTCGACGCAACCTCTGCTTCAAGGAATATAGACTGACATGCATGCTTCTTGCTAATCTTTTCCATTTTACAAGAAGGTCAACGTTCTGACGTCAGGTTAAGCCACAAATCCGACGAACACACGGCAGCATGTCATGCTCCTCTTCTCATGACTGTTGGGAGCGACATCCTCCACTACCTGACGAAGTTAGGAGACAGTGTTGCTGCTTAATTCCCACTCCCATCCATTTTAACCGCATCTGCCAGTGGTACGGATGAGTCAACAGACTTAACTTTCTCTCGGCAGAGACACGTCGCACGTAAAATCCAAAATACAACAACCTTTGATTTGTACCGAGTCTTTCGCATAGCGGCTTCGCAGACAACGAAAACCCCGAGCGCTGCCGTGCGTCAGTGGGCCAGTCGGCGCGCTCAGATGACGCGCATGACACGGGCGAGGCCGCCGTCACCCGGGAGCGGCGCCAGAGCCCCGGCGGGGCGGCACGTCCGGCGGCGGCGGCGCTCGGGCGGCGTGTCACCGGGCCGCCGGCGCCGCTGACGGCCGCCAGATACCGCCGATGCTGCTCCCTCGGACGCGGCGCGCGCCCCTGGCGGCCGCTGTCGCCGCCGCCGCTTCCGGCCGCCTCTAATGTGCACGCCAATGATGTATGGGCGCGGACCGGGCCGGCCGGCCGGCCGCGCGAGGCTGCGCCAGTGTCAGCGACCTTGCCCGGCCCCGCCGCCCCGCGTAAATAGGCCGGGCAGGGCCGTGGCGGGACGGATCATAGAGCAGTGTGGGGACGGTCGATGGCCGGGACAGGTGACGCGCGGGGACGTGACAGGCGATGCAGGGGACAGGTGACGGACAGAGTCCAGTCACCAGGACCGGCAAAGAGCGCCGACTGGGAGGGGTGACGCACGGGAGTAGGGACAGGAGACACGCGGGACTGGGCCCGGTGACGAACCGGGATTGTGATAACCGACGAACAGAGACATTCTTCGGAGACTGGCCTCCGTTTGTGGCGGAACTTGCGGCGAGTAGGGATTGGCGCAGACGACAGACTGAGTCTGGGACTGGTGACGGACGGGTCTGAGACGGGCGTCGGGCTGAGCTTGGGAGCTTCGTACTGAGTGGGACCGGCGCCGGACTGAGCCGGGACTGGTGACGGACGGGTCTGAGACGGGCGTCGGGCTGAGCTTGGGAGCGTCGTACTGAGTGGGACCGGCGCCGGACTGAGCCTGGGACTGGTGACGGACGGGTCTGAGACGGGCGTCGGGCTGAGCTTGGGAGCGTCGTACTGAATGGGACCGGCGCCGGACTGAGCCTGGGACTGGTGGACGGACGGGTCTGAGACGGGCGTCGGGCTGAGCTTGGGAGCGTCGTACTGAATGGGACCGGCGCCGGACTGAGCCTGGGACTGGTGACGGACGGGTCTGAGAACGGGCGTCGGGCTGAGCTTGGGAGCGTCGTACTGAGTGGGACCGGTGCCGGACTGAGTCTGGGGACACGCGTCGGAGCGAGTCCTAGGACAGGTATTTGTGCAGAGTCTGGGGCAGACCACGTACGAGGATTGGCGCAGAAGACAGACGTACATGTTCTCTGCAGGTGGTACATGACTCGTGCTGGAAAAGGTGAAGCCCGGGGGTGGTTGCTGTTAGTGAGACAGGCGAAGTACAGGAATGTTCCTTGGTGGTGGGACAGGGGCAGTTGGTCTCTGGCGGCAGGGCAGGCAACGGGCGGGGACGGTCGCGGTCGATGAGCAGGCGGCAGACAGGACTGGTGCTGAGACAGGTAAGCAGAGGCGCGGACCGGGTGTCACGGCCAGCCGCTGGTCTCGACACGCTGCACACTGGCCGACGTCGTGCCCTGACCGACACAACACGGCGTCGCGCTTGGTGCCATCAGTCATGTACCCGATCAAGGGGACGCACGCGCCCGATGCGAAGCCAACCGCCGATGAAACGGCCGATAGTCGGCGGCGAGTCTGTGGGGAGCTGGCGGCGGTCGGCGGCGCCCAGGGCCGCGGCCGGGGAAGGCTAGATCGGGTACATTCCTGTGGGCCGGTGACGCGAGCGCGATATCCGCCGGCGCGCGCGGCCGCTTCTGAAGACGTAAAAAAGCCCAGATCGGTCAATTACGCCGCCCGCTGCTGGGGCACGTGCACCGGGAATGCCGATGTGTCGGACGGGCCGGAGCCGGCCGCCCGCCGCCCTCAACGCGGCGTTTTTTACGGATCGGACGTGGGAGATGGCCGGAATGGGAGTATTGGGTCGTAACTCGTTCAGGGGTCGGTTGGCCCTGTTCCCGTGAGTGGAAAAGCAGTGTCGCCGAGGGTGGAACTTGGCTGCTGGTGGGGTAGTGACTCGACGGCATGGACCACGGCAGGCTATTATATGTCAAAACCAGGGCTGCACCTTATTGATGGGAGGCTTTACGACTTCATGACGGAACAACGGTCTCATGTTAAGAGTTTCGACGCATATCCTGTACGCCAGACAAGCTCAGTCCGTTACATACGGCAGGCAGCCGCTATTTCCCGGTGGTTTTGTGCCAACCTTAAAATCGGCCTTCCGTCTGCGCTATTCTGGCAGATCGGCCAAGTAGTGTAGATATACTTGGTTTACGTGGAACGTTGCCGAATGAAATTCACACCCCCGTTTTGCTTACTTTCCGATGCAGTTTGTAGTAAAGGCCCATGCATTTTCGAGAAGATGATGAAACGCTCTGAGTCGCATTTCCGTCGCTGCAGATCTTCAAACGATTTGGGTTTGTACTTCCCGACATGCTCGCACCATTGAGTGTTCCATTTCGCTCGTTCGCGCGCTCTGCGCACTGCCTATGTGACAACCAACACGTAACCGATGGTACCAGTGGGGAACGTTATTGTTGTGATGTCAGGTAGAAAGTGGGCGCTGTACTTTGGTTCTTTCAGCTCTGTGTAGTGTGAGCGTCACGTGCAGCACGTGCACGGACGTGCACCGCACGCTGAACATGACGTGCATCGTCGGTCTTCGCAGAGCGCGTCACGCCACGCCATGGCCGCCAACCAGCAGTTCTGCCTGAAGTGGAACAACCACCACAGCAACCTGCTGAACGTGTTCGAAGCGCTGCTGCACACGGAGGCGTTCACGGACGTGACGCTGGCGGTGGACGGCGCCTCCATCAAGTGTCACAAGATGGTGCTGGCCGCCTGCTCGCCGTACCTGCAGACGCTGCTGGCCGAGCACGTCACCACGCATCCGATCGTCGTGCTCAAGGACATTCGCCTGCACGAGATGCGCGCCCTGCTCGAGTACATGTACCGCGGTGAGGTGAACGTGGCGCAGGAGCAGCTGGGCTCGCTGCTCAAGGTGGCCGAGACCCTCCAGATCAAGGGTCTGGTGGAGGAGGGCCGCTGGGAGCGGCACAAGGTCGAGGGCGGCGGCGCCGAGCGCGCCACCATCGAGCCGCGCCAGCCGTGCCCCGACTCCAACCGCCGCTCCCCAGAGCCGTCGCCTCCGCCGGCTTCGACGCCGGCACCGGCGCCGCCGCGCCCGGCCTCAAGCCACCGCCGCCACCCGAGCCGCGCAGCAGCACCCGCTCCACCCCGCTGCGGCGTCCTCAGCGGCGGCGGCGGCGGCGGCAGCAGCAGCGGCCGCCGCAGCTGCCGCCGAGCTGCAGAAGAAGAAGCGGCGACCGCAGGAGGTCTGGTGCGAGAGCAACCCGATCCTGCGCACGGTTTTGGGCCATGGCGGCATGTCGGGCCTGGACGTGCCGTCGCTGATGGCTGCCGCCATGGGCCGCGAGATCATGGACCGCGAGTTCGCCGACAGACAGGTACGGCGCTGCGATGGAGGCTGGCTGGTACTGGTGTGTTAGGGGCTTGGACGGCACTGGCTGTATCGAGGGTTTCGCCGGTACTGGGTGTGTCTGGGGAATGGGAGGTGCGGGACATTGTAAGGGCCTGGCTGGTTCAGGTCTGCACTAGGAGCCTGGGCGACACGGGACTGCGCCAGGAGCCGGGCAGGACGGGTCTTTACGAGGGGCCTGGCCTGTGCGGTGGCTCCGTCGGGACCTGGCTGATACGGGTCTGCGCCAGGAGCGTAGGAAGGCGGGGCTCTGTCACCGATGGGCTTATGTCGAGAGTACCACGGGGCTCTGTCATCGATGAGGTTATGTAGAGTTCCACCGAGCTCTGTCACGGATGAGGTTATATGCAGAGTTCCACAGGACTCTTCCACCGATGGGGTTATATGCTGAGTTCTGCAGGCTTCTGTCACCTATGGGGTTATATCGAGAGCTCCACAGGCTTCTGTCACCCGTGGGGTTACATCGAGAGCTCCACAGGATTCCTTTGCCCGTAGGGTTATATCGAGAGCTCGACAGAGCTCTGTCACCCATGGGGTATGTCGAGAGTTCCACAGAGCTTTGTCACCAATGGGGTTATATCGAGAGCTACACAGGACTCTGTCACTTATTGGGTTACACTGAGAGTTCTAACGGGCTGGTCGGACTAAAGTTCACCTTCAGTCAGTTGGTTAACGAGTACGGGACACCGTCAATGGTCAGGAATCCTGACGGGCTGCCAGCTCAAGGATCAGAGTGGTGGGCATTTGATCTGGATGGTGGGCATTCGGCAGGCTGTCAGGGCTAGCTCTGCTGATAACCAGATACTTGCTGGCAGTTACACTGAGACGATGCATACGATTATAGGGCCGTATCGGAAATTTCAAAGCAGAGCGGGTTTTGAGCGGTGGTCAGTGAAACTGGACATGGACGCCGGACGGTGACGGAAACTGTATTCCAAATATCTACTAGTGTTGACGTGCGGTCTATTCTGGGAAAATTCCCCAACTTTTGTGGAGAGTGGCTTGGTCTACAGCCTCGCACATACCCGACGATCTCACGAATGTGACAGTCCTTTTTCTGATCTGAGCCGAACTTGCCGAGTAAATCTGAGCTCATTTTCACGACATAGATGGGTCGTAAAATTTAGAATAAACGAATTTGAGATGGGCGGATGGGAGATGGACGTGTGATTAGATAGTTTGAAGACATTGATAGGAGCGAGAACAAGCTTCTACGATTTGTCTAAGCCAGTCTTGGCCGTCCAGTCAGGAGCTCACCCACCGACGGCTCTGTTCCCGTCGGCTCGTCGTGGATGTCCCACACTCGGCCTTAGCCGTCCGTTCAGGAGCTGACCAGACCGACGACTCTGTTCCCGTCGGCTCGTCGTAGACGTCCCACACTCGGCCTTAGCCTTCCGTTCAGAAGCCGACCAGACCGACGGCTCTATTCCCGTCGGCTCGTCGTGGATGTCCCACACTCGGCCTTGGCTGTCCGTTCAGAAGCTGACCAGACCGACGGCTCTGTTCCCGTCGGCTCGTCGTGGATGACCCAAACCCGGCCGTAGCCTTCCGTTCAGAGGCCGACCAGACCGACGGCTATGTTCCCGTCGGCTCGTCGTGGATGACCCAAACCCGGCCGTAGCCGCCCGGCCAGGAGCTGCCCAGACTGACGACTCTGTTCCGGTCGGCTTGTTGAGCATGTCCCACACCCGGTCCCAGCCGTCCGTTCAGGAGCTGACCAGACCGACGACTCTGTTCCCGTCGGCTCGTCGTGAATGTCCCCACAACGGGCTGATCACTTTACGCTGGGCAACCTTGCCTACGTCAACCTCTGCCAGAAGAGCATCGCCTGAAGAACAGACGGCAGTCGTGCCGGATCTCGCCGGGCCTCGCCGGCTGCGGTCGGAATGGCACGGCATCACTGGCCAGCCGCCCTGACCGCTCGGTTGGGACCCTCACGGGCATCCGTTGGCCATACCTGCCCGAAGCCCACTCCTACTCTGCCCTTCCCATCCGTTACCTTGCTGCTCACCGTTCTCCGGGATTTAATTAAGAGTATACATCGTGACTGAGAGTACCAAGGCATCGTGACTGTGATTTCGGAAGTTGTGCTTGTAGATTTACCAGCCCGCACGGGTAGTTCCAAAATGCGTGTGTGGAAGGTCTTGGGGTCGAGCCCCGCTGGAAGTTTTGTTGTCCCTGCCCCGAAAATGGGCGCGGAGATTTCAGCGCTAAGGAACCGGTAGGGTTGAATGCCTCGTTTAAGCTCCAAATTACTGGTACATCTACCCCAGCTGTAGCCATTGTATGGGCGCGTTTGGCGAAGGAAAAATTATTCAGCCAATACCTCTCTGGCCGGTAATTATGTTCGGAGATTCTCCATTTGCGTTCGGCAAACCGAATTTCCCCCCCCCCCCCCAGTTTCGTCTTTCTTGCAACATGCATAACCAACGGTCGTAAGAAGGCATGGCGAAGAAAGGTGCTCCGTCCCTACCAGGCCCTGAAAATGATCCGGGCTTCTCCCATGGCACGGAGGAGATCTGGACAGTGCCTCATGTTGGCGGTGTCTGTCTGCCGTTCTGGATAATTTCCAACATTCC